CTCTTAGCCATTTTACTGTTTTAGAGAGAAACTTTTATCCCTGCTCCTGCTTGGGAGTGCAATTGGAAGATTAAGTTAAGGGTTAGGCATGTTGAATTCGAAATGTTTGAATCCTCCATGATCAGACTGCTTAAATAATATTACTACCGTCTTTTATCTGAACAAACAATACCCAGAATATTGATGGATTTAGTCAGTGCTTTTTTTCTAAAAAAAAAACCAAAAACGGTGCCAGAACTCACACACGTCATACAATCCGCCTTGCCTACCCTATAAGGTTCCATCCAAAAAAGGTGCCGGAACTCCGTTCTGGGCGTTCTATGAGAAAAAAAAGCCCTGGATTTAGTCCAGGATGTCTAAAATGAGTGTTACCATGCAATGTGTGCTTATCATAGTGCACTGAAAAAAGAAAAACTTTTAAGCTATACCCATATAATATTTTTTTTTTATTTGTCAAGCATGGGAAAATCAGAAGTCCAAACAGTTCAAATGAATATAAAGGTTTATTGCAAGTTTATGTTGTCTACAAGAATCTGATCTACTAACAGTTAAAGAAAATTGGGGTATATAAGAGTCAATGGAATTCAAGATGTTCTGGACTTGATCTCTTGGGCATGAAGGGAGTCAAGAATGGTGATATGTTTGATCCCTTCCTCAGGCTCAGCCTGTTCCTCTCCTACAGAATTATTGTAAATTATTGAATGATTGTGAAAGTAACTTCCTTGTCAGAAGTCTTGCCAGGTATTCACAATAATGCAGTCTGCAGACTCAAATCTTTTCAATATCCATTCCCATGAGGAAGAAATGTTCTTGTCACATACACTATTTGCCACAGACCATTGCTTTGCTGAAAACAGAAAAGCTATTGCTCTTTTAGAATTACAAGCAAAATGCCAGAGAAATAACTGGACCAAGGCTTGAAAAAAAACATGTTTACCATTTCTTTGCAGCCCCTGATTGAACTCCAGAAAAAGAAAAGTCCAAGTCCTTTATTTCAAAAGGATTTTATAGCTGCAGAAAAAGATAAAACATTATGACCACAAATGTTTTATCTAGATTTGTGATTTGTATTTCTGTATCATGCTAAAGTTTACATGTTTTTTATTCATAAAGGTTGACTGAAAGCATATTCAAAAAGCTATTCTTTTTTGCCTCTAGGATATTCTTGAGATCTATAATACTTTGTAATATTCTTAGTAAAGAACATTTACTTTGTAGCAGACTAGTGCCATCGTGTGGCATACCTGGAACACTGCATTTTCTTTTTTTGAGAAATTCTGTTTTACCAGTTGAAGAGCACTGATGATGTTACCTAGTTGGGTAATGAAACATCTGCAAGAAAATAAACCAAGCTTGAATCTATCTACTCAGTAAGATCTAGTAAAAGAGAATTGCTGCATTTCCCACATTTGGGAGAATGTCATCTACAATGATCTCTTGCTTGAGCTTTCTTAGAGTTGTCTTACGTACCTGGAACTATTCTCAGGTACAGGTGATCATTGGTTAATGACTACTCATTCAGCAATGATTTAAACTTGCAATGGCACTGAACAAATTATATTTATGACTGGTCCTTAGAGTTCCAGCCATTTCAGCTTCCTTGTAGTCAACATTTGCAACCTTCTTTGCTGGCTTCCAACAAGCAAAGTCAGTGGGAAAGCTGACAGGAGGTCACATAATGATCATCTGACATCCCCACTAATGATCTACAATGATTCACTTATAGGCAACTTTGAGTGCTGGAATTGCTGTGGCAAAGTGGTATCATGTGATGTCATGCTTTAAGACCACATCGCTTAGTGATGGCTAAAGCCTATTGCCATTGTTAATCAAGCACTATTTGTATTCATACCATATCCTTCGTGTTATGTTTTTGAACTGCTGGCTGTTCATGGCTGTCCAGAGAAACAGTTAGGGATGCTTTAAGATTCTGCTGCCCAAACATTAACACATCAGGGAGACATATTATACTTATATAATTATTTTCTATGTTTTAATTTTTGTTATTATCAGTAAGCTGCTAGCCTCTAGGACTTGAGTAACATATACACTGTGGGCACAATTATTAGGCAAGTTGTACTTTGGAGGATTAATTTTCTTATTGAACAACTACAGTGCTCTCGGTCAATCCAAAATGTTAATAAACCTCAAACCTGAATATTTAACAAAGTAAAAGTGAGGTTTTGGTTTTCTTAGGTGAATATCTATGTGTGCACATTATTTGGACAAATATTAGTGTGCAGAATTATCATGCAACTAAATGAAAAACAAAAATATGCCCATCTCACTCATTTATTTGCATCTGTTAAAGTGAGAATAATGAACAAGCAACTCAGATTGTACAAATAAACATTTCTGACACCCTTCTTTTCAATTACAGTCACAAGCTTTATGGAGTCTGTCAATTTCTTGATCTGTTGACAATCAACATTTTGTACAGCAGCAACCACAGCCTCCCAGACACTGTTCAGAGATGTGTACTGTTTAGGTCAGGTGAAGAAGGGGGCCATGTCATTATTCTTTCATCTTTAAGGCCTTTACTGGCCAGCTATGCAGTGGAATACTTTATACATGCGATGGAGCATTGTCCTGCATAAAAATCAAGGTCTTCTGGAAAGATGCAGACTTTTTTCCTGAAGTCTTCTAAAGACTGGCAATAGGTTTGGGAGTTGATTTTGAGTCCATCTTTAACCTGAAAAGGTCCAGCTAGCTCATCTTTAATAATACCGGCCCATATCAGTACCCCACCTCCACCTTGCTGGCATCTGAGTTGAAGTGGAGCTCTATTCCTGTTACTGATCCAGCCATGGGCCCATCCATCTGGTCTGTCAAGAGTCACCCTCATCTCATCAGTCTATAAAACCTTTGAAAAATCTGTCTTCAGATATTTTTTGGCCTAGTCTTGCCTTTCAACTTATGTGTCTCCTTCAGTGGTAGTCAGGTTTCAGCTTTCCTTACCTTGGCCATGTCTCTGAGCACTGAACACCTTGTACTTCTGGGCACTCCAGGTAGGTTGCAGCACTGGAGGATAATGGGTTCCTGGTAGCTCCACTTTGGATTCTTCTCAAATCTTTGACAGTTAATGTGCATCTTTTTTTCTCAACACATTTCTTGCGACTCTGTTGACTATTTGCAACAAAATGTTTGATGGTTCTGTGATCACACTCCAATATTTTAGCAATTTCAAGAATGCTGCATCCCTCTGAAAGACATTTTACTTTTGACTTTCAAAACTTAAATCTCTTTTTTTGGGGCCCATTTTGCCTGAGGAAAAGAAGCTGCCTAATAATTATGTGCACCTTGATATAGGTTGTTGATCTCCTTAGGCCACACCCTCCCTCATTACACAAATACACATCACCTGATATGTTTATATCCACAAACCATTCATGTTTATATAGCTTGGAGGGGAAAATATGCATGAAAAGACGATATGGTCAAAATACTCACTTGCCTAATAATTGTGCACACAGTATAAGCTTGAATGAATGGACTGTAGTGGAATCACTGGCTAAAGTAGAGGGGGCTCCTCTAAGGGGAGTAAAGAGACATTCCAGTTTGGAATTGATTTGGGATAGGAAATGTCTGAGGTCAAGGCAGACAGTTCTTGTAAGATAAGTGATCAACAATAAAATATCTATTTGGGTCTATTCACAAGTGGTTCTGGTTGCATATACCTGACATGAATGGATCAACGGATGAATATTGTAATTATAGCAAAATAATCTTCAGGACAATTATAAGGTTTTCCACTGATTTTTAAAAATAAATTTGAAAGTTTTATTTATCATACTTTTTTTGCAAGGCATGCTCTTTTGGTACATGTAATCTTTTTATTCGCTACTGCTCATATAAAATATTCTCAAAATATAACTTCATAGAAAATCTAATATAGTTCTTGAAGAAAAGATAGTGAAGAAAAATCTGGTACTTCACAAGATCAAAGAAAGGGAATCAAAATGTGATTAGGGAATTAGGAATTTGAAAAAAAAGAAGGGATATGCAACGAGGAAGTAGAGTTGGAATATCAGGGTTGAATCATATGCAGCTTCTCAGCCTAAGATAGCCACCAAGAGTCAACAGTTGTATCAAAAATCTGATAAAAATTATGTTGCTCAGGAGAAGTTCAACAGGAGCAGGAGCTTTTTCTGTAACCCTTCTTGTCCAAGATCCAGTGGCCAGCAAGATGATAGGGCAGCCTTGCATGCCTTCTGCTTGTGAGAACTTTGATACCCAGAATTTCCAGCAATTGCTTATGGCAAGGGTTCCCAACCCCCAGTCTACAATCAGGTACTGGTCTACAGCTTGTGAAGAACCAATCTGCGCAAGCAGCGGGCAAGCGTGCAAAGCTCCATTTGTGCAAGTGGCGGATGTGTGCATGAAACCATCCCTCTCCACCCCCCCCCATACTGCCACCACTGCTGCTGGTCCAGGGACCTGTAAAGATTGGGGATGCTGGCTTATGGTGCCTAATTATAAACAATTACTTGAAATGCAGTGGTTCATGAAACAAAATTCCAAACTTAACAATTCTTTGTAGCTGGAAGATAGTTCACAGAACCTATAAGAGTGACCTTTTTTTTTACTATTATATGATTGCTGAGAAGATCATTGAAGGAAGATAGGAGTTTCAAAATCTTTAACTGTGAACCTCTGGTATGAAACATGTAATTCCTGTGATTTATATTTGTTTTGTAATATGAGATTTAGCCATTAACTACCAACTTCCAAATTAAAGCATATCTCAAGAGAGTAAACCTTTTATGAATATATAATTCCTAATATCTTATTCAGTGGTGATTTAAAGAGTATGATGATTATAATCATAATCATTTTTAAATTTCTTAAACACATCTGCTTCCTGCTTCTTAGCATTGATGACAGTGTCGTAAGAATAATTTTGTGATTGTTTTTGGTATATTTTATCAGTATGTGCTATAAATTCACAGTTTTGTAAAGGAATCTGTCAATCCTTAGTGCATTTTTAAAATATTTTTCAGGGATGTAGTTATCAAATTACTTCAATATGAAGCATCCACTAATGTGGCAGATAATAAAGGGTATTTTCCTATACACTTGGCTGCTTGGAAAGGAGATGTAGAGATTGTGAAGATTCTTATCCATCATGGGCCATCACATTCCAGAGTGAATGAACAGGTGATATTATTAAATTTATTTGTTTATATCTTCAGCAAACACAAGTAAGTATCCTTTTGTTCTTACAGAAATATGACTGGATTCATATGAAGTTCCTTCACGGCAAATCATTATTTATCTTGGTAAGGGTTATATGGATGAGAGATTTTATACCATGTAGAACAATTTTGCAAACATCTGACATCAAAATAGATTTTTTTGTAGTTACTGTGATATTGTATTTAGTTCAGTATTTTTTTAGCAGATCTTATTTTATCATTGAGATAATAAAAAATAGTATTTGGAACAAGTGCTACTGATTTTTATAGGTTGGTTGTGCTACAAAAAAGTATTGTAATTCCATGCTATAAATGAATAGCTTAATTCTATTGATATGCTAACAGTTTTAGATCTTAAAATCAAAGGAGACTAAAGTCATATTAAGAGCATGTCTATTTAAATCAACAGTGGCATGCTGCTGTTATTTCTGTAAATATTTTTTTATCAAGAATTTAAAAAACTGGGAACTTGTAACAACTTTACTATGATTTTCAAAGTTAGTAAGCTTTGCAAAATGTTTTAGAATTCCCCATTCAACCATCTTATACGCAACAATATTGGATATTAAACACTCTGGTAGCATTTCATAAAATAAGACATGATGTATGCTATTCAAATCTACATTAATTTGATTTGAATTGATTTGAATGGCTGTTTATTTCATCTAAGTGACTCTGGCCAACCAACAATAGGTCAAAACAATCCAATAAAAATAAATTAAGAACCAATATAAAGACAGATATTAAAACTATCTACAATCAATTAAAAACATGATCAGCAGTATAATTCATCATCATATTATCTATTATTACTCAAAAAAGTATTGATGATTATGTACAGTCTGATAGAATGGTCTATTAGATTGCAGCAGATGTAATCCTAGAAGTATACTACCACTTCCATATAGTCCCTTAGAATAGGGGTCCCCAACCCCTGGTCCATGGACCGGCACTGGACTACGGCATGCCAGAAACAGGTCTGCACAAACAAGCAAAGCCCCATTTGTGGGATGCAGACAGTACATGAAACCACGGCCCCTCTGGTCCACAGAAAAACCTCTCTCCATGGAACCGGTCCCTGGTGCTCAAAAGGTTGGAGACCTCTGCCTTAGAATGATATTAAAACAGCAGAAATTCTTATTAGTTTTTCTCTTTTTCAAAACTCTCAGTATTATCAGGCAATGTGTTCTAGAAATGCATACCATTACTATTATAGTACTGTTTTTTAAAGAGTTTTCCGCCTAAAAAATATTATAGGTGTAATAAGATTGCAAAGAGTAAGCTGTTATTACTTTAAACTGGTGGAGGGAAAAGACTTAAGTTTTTTGCATCTATTATAAGACCATTATGAAGCAAGGAAAATGTTCTAACCATCCTTCTTCCTTTCTCCTAGAAAATATTTAGGAAAAACTAGAAAAAATAAATATACTGTAAATCTGATGAATCTGGAGAACTTTTAAAGTATATTTAATATAAATGAATTTTACAAAATGGAAAATTTGAGTATTTGGCTTGTCGGATTTCTAGTTGAAAAGAGTGTAGAATGTGTTTAAAACAAACTTTTATTTCATTGTTAAATTGAAAAAATACTATCTTTACATATTTCCTATAGTTTTGATATAAGAACATCTAATGTAGTTTCAGAATGTTGAAAATAACATTTATTCCCAGGAATTGTAGCTACAGAATATAGTAGCTGCTTTCTTTATAGGTATGTTTATGAAAAAGAAAGAAAAAAAATGTATGAAAGAAAGTTGCTATATCTGAAATTATAGTTTACCTCTGGTTGCTATTTTTTTTTAAAAAAAATCAGATTGCTAAATTGCAAGTACTGGACAAATGATAACTTTAGAATCAGGAAACTGGAGTAAAGTGTTACTTATGACAGGGAGTGCAATGTTATAACACAGAAATAACAGTATATTCATAAACAATCATTGGATAGGTGACTATGATGTTTACTAGGCAAAATATTATAGTATAATAAGTAAATGTATGAATCGGCAGAGAAAGAAAGTTGTGTGAAATATAGAAGGATTTTCTTGGTTTGTTAAATGTAAATGGGGAATCAGGTTTTAAAGTAAATTTGTTAAACAAATAAGTATTTGAAGTTGATATTTTAAACAATAAAGAAACATTTTTTTTAATTATGTTGAAATACAATTCCTGATTCACATATAACAAGCTAGGAATCTGCTAAACATATCAAGATTTGTTACTTTTCTGGAAACATGGATGAAAAGAAACAAGGTCCTTTTTTTTGGCCTGTTTTATTTAGTTTGTTTATATATTACCAATACCATAAGGACTCACTATATAAAACTAAATATAAAACTGTTAAAGCTATAAAATTAGTACTGCAACTTGAAAGAAATCAGCCTAACATCCATATTAAGTGAGCATGTCAATTCTTAAAAATAATAAATTTGACTAAATTGAAAGATCTGTGTAAAAACTTGGTTCTAATGCCTTTCTAAATATTATCCAGGAAGGTGCTGTCAGTTTTCTGGAGACAAGATATAACATAGGAATGGAATGAAATTTTAAAAACACCAGGTTTTTCTCCCCACTGCCATTTGATGGAAGGAGATATCTTCAGTGGTACTTTTTACATTTTATTTACATTTTACATTTTATTTCTGAAATATTTTGGAAATACTTACATGAAAACAGGACACATTTTTAATATACCCATTGAAATAATTTCAGCACAGACATTATCTTAAGAACCTTGGGGGAAATTACTATATACACACGTGTATAGATTATAAAATATATAAGATAAGTAATAAACTGATATAAAGTTTTTGAAAATGATTTAAAATCAAAACAGCAATAACCACAATGCAATAATAGGGGAACAGATATTTACAAAGAACAGTAGGACATATTCATGCTGGAATGATTAACTCTCAAATTTAAGATTTTTTTTTTATCTAGCTCTGAAAGACATTGTTAGTAGCAATTTGATCTCTTGAGAGATGGCATTTCAAATAGAAATGCCACATCTTGTATATTATCTCAAACATAAAGAGACGTAAGCAAGATCTTAAAGTAAAATAAATTTAAGATTTAAATTTGTTTAATTGAGAAGAATTATTGCTCTTTTTAATAAATAAATATTAGTGCAAAATTATATTCTGACTTTAAGACTTTTATAATCTCATTGATATGTTTTATGTGAAGAATCACATAAACTGGGTTCATATCATAATAATATTTAATGTCTGAAAATATCAGCAAAAAGTCATACGGAAAGTAGGGAAGTTTCAAAAACTGTTTCCTGTTCTCTTTTCTTTTCTTGTCCTTATGTGTCTTGCTCTGTAAATCTGTTGTTTTCTATCTTCCTTATTTCTGTCTTTCTTTCTCCTTACTTTCTACTTTCCCTCCCTCTTCCTTTTTCTCTTAGGGTCAACTCAGCAGTTGCAGTAGAACTGCAACAGAGGGTTTTATCAATGACATTGACACAAGATTGAAATTGACTAGACACTCTCAGTTTTAGTCAGTTTCAATCTGCATCTTGAGTCCCAGGTAAAGTCATACTGAATTTTGCTGGAACATGCTCTTTGCAAATACATTGAATTGGGTAAAATATATAACCCAAGCTCAATGTGTGCTTTTCCAGATACATATTTTATTCCTGTAATTTATATACAGGGATTATCAAAATAACTTTGTATGATAAATTGAATACCTCATTGCATATTTAAATCAAGCAATTATGCATGCATGGCTTATAAAATATATTCATTATGCTTGTGGCTGAGACTGTTCTACGTATTTTCTGGCAAAAATCTATATTGCAAAAATATTCCGGGAAACACAATATTTGTATATAAACACAGTACTTTTTGTTACTTGTGTTAAATATAATATCTATTCAATGTAAAAAATTGTAATAACACAATTGAAATGATAGGACCAAAACAAAGTTTACTAAAATACTAGTTGTCATGATTTTCAATTTTAAATATTTTTACATTGAAAAATGACTAGAAGTGAGAATTTGATATTGGTCTTCAGAGAATTGATGAAATTAAAATATTTTATTTTTAAAATATTGCTATGGATTAATCTATAAATCTGCTTTTTTCCTTTCCTGGAAAATAATGGCTGATCACCGTGTGGATATTTTATGATTATATATATAAGTGACCCCGAACTCTACAGCTTCCCAACACTAAATAATTATTTCAACATATGTGAAACTGAAAATGTAATACTTTTCATATCTCTTTTTGTCAATTTATCTACTCATCTAGATTTTTTAAAATATATATATTATTGTTAGTAGTAATGTTCTGGAAAGAAAATTGTTTCTGCCTACTCTAAATATTAAGTAATATTTTTAAAATTTGATATTCTAAAATACAACTAGCATCAATAACGTACTATTTCAAGCAAATTAGATCAATATTTATTTAATTATTTAGGAAATGTACATGGACACTTATCTCACCAAAATGGCTGTAGGCAGTGCACAGAAGGTTAAAATCAAAATCAAAACCAAACAGTTAGAATTTTAAAAAATCAATATTAGAAAAACAGTGACACAATACCATCCACAATCAAGAAAAAAACCCTGCTTTGAATTACAAATACACCAACCAACCAATCAAACCAGACTCATTGAACCACCTGGAACAAATGCCTGTGGGTAAATCCAAATTTTTGAACATCTTCCAAAAGGTGAACAGAATTGGGGCCATCCAGATCTTGGGGGAAATGCTGTTCCACAGGACAGGTTCAGTGACAAAGGAAATATGATTCCTAGGTCCCACAAGACAATGCTATCTAAAAGATAGGACCAGAAGAATATTTCTGATAGAGCAGGCTGAAATAATCAGAGACAGGTGGTCCCACAAATAACCTGATTCTGTGCCATGTAGAGCTTTACAAGTGATAACCAGCACCTTAAATTGTACATCACATTGTATTGCACCTAGAACCTCAGTGGAAGACAATGCAGCTTACAAATCAGGGGCATTAAATTGGCATATCATGGAATGCCCCAAATTGCCAGCTGTTGTTGCACTTTGGACCGCTTCTAGTCTTTCAAGGACAGACCCATCTAGCCCATATTAATGTAAACCCACCAAGAAGTGTGTAAGGCATTAATGACTGTAAATAGGGCCTCTCTATCCAGGGCTCAATTGGTTCGCAAAGTGAACCTGTGTAAAGGCCTTCCTAGCCAGGCTGCCATCTCCTCTTCAAGCAGGAGTGGTGAGCCCAGGAAGACCCTCAAATTGTGCTCTAATTCTAAAGATGGAAAATCTGTAGATCTGAGGGTCAGGTGTGTGTCTTAAAACCAACAGCCATTCAGTCTCACCAGCTGAACTGAAGCCTTCTCCATTCGGGCTTCCATGGCTTCCAGGCACTGATAGCATCCTTTGGTCAGTTCATAACACAAATATATAGTCGAATATCTCACTCAGTTTTCAACTGATAATCTCCCCAGGAGTTCCATGGAGATGTTAAATAGGAACAGGGAATGAACAGGGCCCCGAGGAATCTTGTGAAGCAGGGTATTCAGCCATGGAACTCTTCCCACCTACCAGAGTGATACGAATCAGCCCTGAAGGAAGGAGAACTAGTGCATCAGCATATACTTCACTCCCAATCCTCTGAGATGACTCAGAGTGTACCATGATTGATATTATCAAAGGCCACTGAGAGATTGAGGGCCAGTATGGATACATTACCTCCATCCTGAGTCTACCAAAGGTTGATCAATATTGTCTGTATGCTACCGTATTATCAGGACTGAATCCTGATTGAAAGGTGTGCAGCTAATTTGCTTCCTCCAGGATCTTGTGGAGTTACAAGACAACAAACTTCTCAACAACCATTGGGGAGATGGGTAGCATATAAATTTAATAAATAAATAAAATAAAACTTGAAAAGGGAAAGCTGGAAACTGGATGAGAATTGTCCAGTTCTGTTAGTGTCCAACAATGACTTCTTCAAGAAAAAGTGAATTATTGCCTCTTTCAAAGCATGTGCTACCACACCTTCCACAAAAAGGCATCCATTACCCTATGGACCCAACCAATGTCACTTCCTGGAAAGTCTTGATCAGACAAGAGGAGTATGCATCATATTATTTAAACAAATATCGTAAGCAATATTGTACATTGACATGAGATGGAGAAATATATCTGATAAAATTTATGTATGAATGTATGTATGTATGTATGTATGTATGTATGTATGTATGTATGCATTTATTTATTTATTTAGTTTATTTATTTAATCAGTTAACAGAATAACAGAATTGAAAGGGATTTTGGAGGTCTTCTAGTCCAACCCCCTGCTCAAGCAGAAAATCCTATACCATTTCAGACAAATGGTTGTCCAACCTCTTCTTAAAAACTTCCAGTGTTGGGGCATTCACAATTTCTGGAGGAAACTCATTCCATTGATCAATTATTCCAATTGTCAGGAAATTTCTCCGTAGTTCTAGGTTAGGTTTTTTCCCTGATTAGTTTTCATCCATTGTTTCTTGTCTTGCCTTCAGGTGCTTTGGAGAATAGGTTGTGGCAACCTCTTAGATATTGGAACACTGCTATCATGTTACCCCTAGCCCTTAATACCAAATTGCTGCAACCGTTCTTCATATGTTTTACCCTTCAGTCCCCTAATCATCTTTGTTGCTCTTCTCTACATTCTTTCTAGAGTCTCAGTATCTTTTTTATATTGTGGTGACCAAAACTGGATGCAATATTCCAAGGGTGGCCTTACCAAGGCATTATAAAGTGGTATTAACACTTCATGTGATCTTGATTCTATACCTCTGTTAATGCAGCCTAGGACTGTGTTGGCATTTTTGGGAGCTGCAGCACATTGCTGGCTCATATTTAAGTGATTGTCCAGTGGGACTCCAAGACCCTAGTGGGCTCAGTTGCGGTCTTCTTTTATGCACAAATCCTATCCTGATAGTATTAACTCAGAATGTGAAAATGCTTTTGTTATGTTTTACCATTTGTAATTTTACAATTGAGACAGAATATATAAGAATAGTATTGGAAATAGTTAAGTACCAATAACATTTGAGTAAAATATGTAGATACATTTTCAAATGAGACTTTATATACAATCAAGATTTGTATTCCTTTTTCTAGTGAACAGATTGCATCATTTAGAGAACAAGAGAAATTGAGGTAACAGAACTATCTCATCTAAAGGCTATTAGCAAAACTAATTTTTGATTTGCTGCTAGATCTGCTCAATGTGTTACAAACATGTCTTAAAAAGCAATTGTATTGTATTATAGTATTCAGGAGAAGGCATTTAATTTTTTTTCTCTTTTAACAGAACAATGAAAATGAAACAGCTTTGCACTGTGCTGCCCAATATGGACACTCAGAAGTGGTTGCTATTTTGCTTGAAGAACTTACAGATCCCACAATAAGAAACAACAAATTAGAAACTCCATTGGATTTGGCAGCTTTATATGGCCGACTGCAGGTGGTGAAGATGATAATCAATGCATATCCAAATCTGATGAGCTGTAACACAAGAAAGCATACTCCTTTACATCTTGCTGCACGTAATGGTCATAAAGCTGTGGTACAAGAGCTGCTAGAAGCTGGAATGGACGTCAGCTGCCAAGTTAGTAATTTTTTTAAAATATTGCACTATTTAAATAAAGGTGGGCAAATCATATGTCCCTATAGTTTTACATTTAACACATTCATAATGGCAAATAATAACTTATAGTTTGTAGTTTGGGCATAACAAATGGCTTCTGCCCTCAGCTAAATTATGTTTCCTAATATTTATTGGGTGGGGCAAGCTGAGTAATATTTGGACACCTGTAAAAGCAGGTTTGTGACAAATCTGATTCGGGAAAGCCCTACTCATAACTCTCTTAAAGCATCTACAATAGCCACCTGGTGCTAGATAATTAAAGATTCACAACTGTACTAAAATTTGCTGTCCTGGTTAATCATTTTCCCAGTCATTTAGAGAAAGCTTTTAAAATTAATCTTTATGATGAATTATTTCTCCCACAATATTGATAGGCATGCCAGAATTTTATTAACAGTGAGAACCACTCTGTTGCAATCATACCTAGTTATACAACATAAGACATTATTAAGGGCTCAGCTCTAGCTTTTCTTTAGCCTTTTTCAAATTGTTCAGAGCAAAGAAGAAGCAGATAGCTTGTTATATGTTCTCTTTGATTCTGGCTCAGCTATAGTCAGCTTCCAGGGAACAGGATTGGCTAGACTTAGCTACCAAGGATGTCCTGCCAGTTATGACTAAAAATCTTAGCTCTTCAAACCCTGAATCCTTTATTCAGGACCTAGCTTCACAACTAAGAGTAAAGAACAGGACGTGACTAGATAATAACTTACTTACTTATGATCTAGAGCAGGGGTGTCAAACTGCTATTCCACAGGCCAGATACGTCACGTGGAAGCCGCGCCCACCCCAGCTCTGGCAATGGGGAAAAAGGCACAATACGTCGTGACATGTCACGTGACGCGGCGAGTTTGACACCCCTGATCTAGAGCCAAGATATATGCAACAGAAAAACTGCCTATTACAGTTCACAACAATAATAGCACATAGGTGGCTTTGGGAGAGAAAGAGAGATGCCTCAAAAGAAGCTTTAACTCCAGTGATTGAGCAATGATTGACCTGAACTGCTGGTCATGCAACATTATATTTCTAATGAAACAGTAATGGAATTCACCTTTGTAAATGATTGTGGCCATTGTTAAAAGTGAAACTGATAAGACAGGAACCACTGATTCCAAGGCTGGAGAGAGACATTATATGAGCATATATGAGCTGTCAAATTGATAGAATTGGTAGAAACTAATTTGACCTGTCTCACCAGAACACACATGAATCATGTTCAATTTATTTAGATTAGTTATATGTAATCAGTTAATAAATTAAACTTTATATCACTGTCTAATTTAAACAATGAGAGCCTGGACAGCATACACAATTATTAAACAAAAATACAAAAAAATATTTGACATACTACTAAAGCAAACTTCCAGGATTAAAATATACCAGTTGGGAACTTTGCTCATCCTGACCCAAGGGCATGGAGAAAGGACTTAACTGCTTTTCTAAAGGCCTTCAGCTCTTCATATTTGGGGGCAGGGGACTTTGTTTCAGGGGACAAGGGTTGTCACCAAGAATTGGAATTTAGCATTGGCTAGGCCTGATGGTCTGGATTCATACGAATTTCATCTGAATCTAGGCCACCTAGTCTGGCTGAATTATTAGAATGTCCCCAAGTCATCTTGGCTTCCAGTTTACTAGGAAAAATAAGATAAAGCTTGGCTATAAAGGTCAAATTAAATAATACTCCAAAAATGTCTTGTTGAAAAGCTAGGGTCACCTTTTATTCAGGGCAATTTCCTGGAGAGCCTCAGATTGGTTCTTCCAATCTTATTGTCCAATCTTTTATAGCTGCCCAATTTTTGAAGGCTAGGAGAACATCTGGAAAGCGGTAGAGGCCTAATTCGATCAGAATACACATACAAATGACTTGTAACTTAATCCTTCTAGAACTGAAGCTAAGAGTGCTAGGTGGCTAATCCCTGAATTAACATAATTCCCTTATTGAGGATAAACACATATGAAAGAATGGTAGTACGATACATTTGTTCTTTGGAATCTTCCTGAGAAACTAGTGTTATAGGGAGGGAAAGAAAAAAAGGAAGAAGTGAAATCTTGTAGAATTTAGGGTGGGGAATCCAGTGTACTTAGGTTAGGGTTATGCCTCAGACCCAACCGCTCTTCTAGTATATGCTTGACTCTAGCTCCTCACAAATCTTTAAGTAGTTACCACCATACATTTCCACTATATCTGCCAAAGGTTCCAATATTTATCCTTGCTCTAGAATTTGGAAGTTCACAAAGTGGGGTTCATTTTAAGCTTATTGACTGGTTCTGCAGCTAAATAGGCCAGCCTATGCCTTGTAGCTGAAACTACCATCCTACAGAATTGGAGAATCTTCATAGAAGAATTCTTTCAGACTTCTAAAGACCTTATCAAGGTTAAGACAGCAAATTGAAGGATGCACCACTTGTGCCAAGGGGGTGCGTTCTATGATACAATACATCTCTGGGTTCAAACTAATAACAAAGGACTGAGCCTAGAATGACGCATAACTTCTAGACCAGTTCCAGGAAGGATTCTTAAATACAATCTTGGATGACCTGATCTGGTCCTACTATACTATGCAAGCTTATCCAACTTAGTGTAGGGATTCCTGGCTGCCTTGAAGCACACAAGGTACAGTGGATCTACACAGGTTCTGTCACAAAGTCTTAGTAATAACCATAAGCAAGAATTGGAACTTGCCCGAATGATTAAGGTAAAGGTGTCTCCGTAGGTTTTACTCTGCTACTTGTGACCGACTTTAAGGGGCAATGCTTATCTCTATTTTGTAAGCCAACATTATCTGGAGATGTTTCCATGATCATGTGGCCAGCATGACATCATGCCACAGCACAAAGCACAGGGCAAAAACCAGTATGCTGTAACCTTCCTGCATGCTTATATGTGGTACCTGTTCATCTACTTGCATTTGCATGCTTTTGAACTGCTAGGTTAGCAGGAGCTGAGACAAGTGACGATAGCTCACTCTGTTTCATGGCACGGGGTCTCAAACTGCTGAGCTACATGCCTTTAACGATCTAAGATTCAGTGAGTATCATGCAGCAAATGTAAAATGACCTATACAATTTAATAGCAGTCACAATCAAACTAACTGAATCTAAGAAGAACCAACAGCATTAGATAAATGTCAAATGTCAAATCAGTACACCACCAGTATCCTGAAAAGTATTTCAAGGGACATCAGGTATGAAATAGCATCTTCCATGTCAGTCTGAGGCACTAAGTTCAGGGGTGAAATTTGCAACCCTGAATAACTTCCAGATGCCAGTAGAGTTATAGGTTCCATTATTGCCTGATCCAAATATATACAACTATTGGTTCTAGGGTATTTTGCAGTTTCATTAACATTGCCTTTATGGACCAGAGCAGAATCCCTATATGCATAGTCCTGTAATGTCAGTGAAGACTATTGATGGATGCTCCATGCACCAATGATCTTACATAAATAACAGCACCATGAACAGTTCGAGCTCTTGGTCAGCTGATCCTAAAGCTTCCATGGTTGACCCAATGATTTCCTTGTCTACAAGCACATTGGTATTCTCTGTCAAATGAAGTCAAAAACATATGGAATCCTGTAGGTTGCTCAAAGAAACCACAGCACCTGTTCCACAATGCTTTTGCCAAGGAGGTCAAGCATCTTCACCTCCACTGAGTTATTTACAGAACTGTCTCTCCCCAATTGTCTTTACCTATCTACCCAATCTAGTAGGAAGAACATGCTCTGGGTACCATCAACTAAGGAAAATCAGTTTGCACAATATTTTGGTTAATCCAATGTTTTTTCTGTGCTTAAACATTTAATTAGATATTACATAATGCTATGAAAGTAATGGATCAATTTGATTACCTTCATGATTAGTATAAATTCATTACAGTAATTCAAATGATGTTTTATTATGATAGTTTCTCATGATCTTCTGTATTCCAAATTTATATTAACTGATATTTATAGGCTATATCTTTGTTTAACACAAAACAATACTTGTTGATCAATTTTACTGATTCATATTATTAAGTTTACTGTATACCAGAGGTCCCCAACCTTTTGGGCACCAGGGATCAGTTCTGTGGAGAGAGGTTTTTCCACGGACCGGAGGGGGCATGGTTTTGTATGCTACCTTCATCCCGTGGATGGGGCTTTGCTTGTTTGTGCGGCCCGGTTGCTGGCATGCCGCGGCCTGGTACTGGTCCACAGACCAAGGGTTGGGGACCCCTGCTGTATACAGTATGCAGATTTTTGGAATACTTTTTGTATCACAATGATGTATTTTTAGACTAAGTGTTAATTTCTGTGATGTTTGTAAGTCTTCCACTAAACATTGCAGAATCTGGACTTATTGTAATAGCACTTGTTTTGACTGTCTTGTAGACTATTTCTTCCCAACCAATACTAACTTGCATACCTATATTTGGGGTGTATGTAGGTGTGCATATTCTAATGATATAATAGTGTATTTATTCTGCTATAGTCATTACTGATTTTAATAATATTTGGGGGCCTAACTAAATGATTATGGTACAAACATTTGGAAAAGTACATACAGAACAACTAATGCTTTTGTTCTTATGTTTACATATACAGGGACTGAAATAATTTTTTTTATACCCACACTCAGGGTGTGAGTATTACTGTAACTTTACCATGGAGACAATGTAGAACACATTCCAGATTCTGAAAACATTGTACCTAAAATGTAGAAAATGTTCAAATCTTGACATGCACTTAATCCTTTTCTACCCTGCTTTGGTTGGGGTGTTTTACTACCTGCTGCCACTGTTAATTGTCTTCCTGATATCGTAAGCATCATAAGGTTAAGGCAATTTATGTTACAAATAATAAAAAAGAAACCATCTATAGTAGTTTGAGTAAGGAAGTGGACTACTGCATTTTTTTTTTTTAAAAAAAAAACTACAATAGAGCTTGATTAGATTCTGCTGCATGACCAGTCAGGGAAGGGAGCCATAGAAGGAAAGTTGATGGTGTAGAACAGTGATGGCAAACCTTTTAGAGACCGAGTGCCCAAAAACTGGCCCTGCCCCCACTCCACCCCCTGCCCCGCCCCGCTCTGCCCCCATCCCCAACCCCACCTGCCCACAGGACCACTCACTGCCTCCAGGGCCCGCCGCAGATCGCCCAGGCAGCCCAGCAGCACTATGGCGGCCACACCCTCTGCCCGCACCCTACAGCATCAACTGCATGATGGGGTGTGAGGGCGGAGTCTTGTCTACGCTGCCTGGTTGCCATGTCCTTGGCTGCACTGCTCCATGTAGGCCACACTCAGGGGCAACTCTCCTTCAGGGGGGCTACTGGAGAGGAGGGGGTCACAGGGGAGGCAAGGCTGGGGCAACGGCACGTGTGCCCACAGAGAGAGCTCCGAGTGCTGCCTCTGGCACCCGTGCCATAGGTTCGCCACCACTGGTGTAGAATGTTTATGTACAATTTCTATTCTAAGTTCAATTACTTCCATTTCATTTTGGTCTCTATGGCAGAAAGTCTGAATGTTAGTACATAAAAGTGCTGACATCCTGCTTTTCATGTCTTCCTTTCATTCAGGCAGTTCTTCTCATTCAAAAATAGGAAATTATATTATCAAACTTTATTAAAATTATCCAAAACAAAAGTACTGTCTGTCTCTACATGTTGTCCACTCACACCCTTTCTCTGTCTCACAAAGCTCTTAAAGTAAGCTTAACATAGTGTTTTTAAAAGAAAAAATAGCCATCTTTTTAAGAACCTGCCATTTTCTATTTGGCATTATATCTTATTGTTAAATGCGATGGTTGGCATCAAAAAGTTGTTCACCACAACATAAGTAGTGTTAAAAATCAGGTATCAATGAAGCAGTTGATGATTCATGTTTTGAATGAGGTATTCATGAATATTGATATTATCGTTCCATTTTATTGATTCTCATGGGCCATATTCCAGAGTTTGTGTTATTATTTATTAAACCTCAGTCAATGATACCTCTTTAGTTAATGTTGATCATGAACGTTATTTCTGATTGTCATAATTAGATTATTATTTTTATTAATGTTTTCTTTTTCTAGACAGAAAAGGGGAGTGCATTACATGAAGCAGCTTTATTTGGAAAAGTAGATGTTGTACGCATTCTTTTAGAAACAGGTAAATCAACTGATTTTTAGTTATTTTTAGTTATTTTAAAATGTTAAAAAATGCTATTTAAACTTCTTTGAAACCAGTTTTTAGTTTTTACCCAGTTCCAACTGATCTCTTATACAATGGCCTGATTCTCATACAGTTGTACAGGATTTTTTCTTATTCTTAAATCAAATAGGAATTAGATATTAGGAATAATTGGTTTATTTATTAAATGTATATACCACTTGACTCTCAGTGGCACTGGATGGCTTGAAATTGTTAAATATTGTCACAAAAAAACAACACTCACACACATAAATCAAAGATGGTAGAGATAACAAACCTGGATGGAAACAAAGAAAAAGAGATAAAGAGGGCTTCAGTCACACTTGCCAAAGGCTTGCATAAAGAACTAGATCTTCAGGCCCTTTGAAACTTTAGTAGAGTGGGTGTCATTCAAATCTCAGGGGGAATCTCATTCTATAAGGCAAGTGCTGCTACAAAGAAGCTGTGCTTTGAGTTTTGGTAGATGGCATTATTTAAGCAAATGAAACCAGAATGTTTCAACCCTGTCCGTTCGGACTAGGAAGGCAGATACTATGGGAGACAGATGGTCCTTCATGTAATCAGGCCCTATGCCATATAAGGCTTTATAAGTAGCAACCAGCACTTCAGTCATATCCAGAAGCAAACTGGCAACCAGTGCAACTCATGAAGCAAACTTATTACATGGCCAGTTTGGCCTAATGCTGACCTAGACTCCCTTAGACAGGAAAGCCAGCTGGGTAAATAGGAGGCAGGAGTATTGATATGTCTGCTGACTATGCATATTGACTATGTAACAATAACAATAATAATAACAACAACAAGGCATGCCCATCACTGCCTGCACTGCTGGATTCTGAACCAGTGAAGCTTCTGGGTGGTCTTCAAGGGCAGCTCAAATAGAGCATGTTGCAGTAATCAAGTCCTGAGGTGACCAGGATCTGAATGACTATGAAGGGTTGCTGATCTTACAAGGGGTACAACTGCATATACCAAGGCTGTTGATTAGTTACAGTATGTCTTAGGTTACTTAAAACAATAGAATAATTAAATTTCTTAGGCATTGGCATTTATATAGTTCATAATATAAAATTTTGAGAAGGCTAACATGATTACATGTGCATTAGTCAACTGTTTTCAGTGTAGTTGCCTTTTAATTAAATAATTGGGCTTGAAGTATTTAAGTTTATGTTCTAGAAAACATTTACCTCAGAATAATATAGAGCAGATGGGAAGGGTATTTATCCAACAATTCCAAAGTCTTCCTAGTTTAGCTTGGGTAGAGCTGAATGATATATGTTTTTAATTTGTGTTTGTGTTTCTGTGAATGCATATTAATAGTTTATTTTTCTTAAATTACTGACAGTACTGCTTGAATAACCAACCAGTTGATTTTAATGCAAGGGAAAATACTGAGAACAGATCCCACCTGATAGGACTGAATATAGGAAACCAAGTGTCTTGGATCCAGAGCAATTTAGTCATCTATGTTCCCCAGATATTCAAGGCCTGTTGCTGGCAAAAACAGCAATGCGTACCAAGCACAGGTTTGGACTAACAGGAGAGATCTATCTGTCCGTTGACTGAATTCCTCTCGGATGAACTCATATTTTGTTCACAACTTAATTCTCTCACTATCTAGGCCAGTGGTTCTCAACCTTTTTAATGCCGCGACCCCAACCGGACGTAAGTCGAGGACTAAACCGGTTGTAAGTCGAAGACTAAACCAGTCATAAGTCGAGGACTAAACCGGTCGTAAGTCGAGGACTACCCAACCGGTCGTAAGTCGAGGACTTTCCCTGCCCGGGAGCACCGCGCATGCGTGGTTCCGCCTCCTGCGCCGGCCGAGGCGTAGCTGGCAAGCGGCAGAGACGGAGCAGGCCGACCACCAGCTGGCCCAGCCCAAGGGAGATAAGGCACCCACCGGAAAAGGGGGAAAAAATGGCGGACAAAAAAAAATGGCGGACAAAAAAATGGCAGACAGCCTTGCTTGGCGACCCCCGTGAAATGGTCGATCGACCCCAAATGGGGTCCCGACCCACAGGTTGAGAACCACTGATCTAGGCAGAAAATTTGGGTTTTAGGATTGGAATCTTAAATGTTCCATATTATATCCCTTTTTTTGCTGTTTTCTATTCTGCATATTTATTTCAGGAATTGATGCCAATATAAAGGACAACTTAGGCAAAACAGTTTTAGATATTTTGAAAGAACATCCATCACAACAGTCACTCCAAATTGCTACATTGCTTCAAGGTCAGTCAGTTATAGTATGTAAGCCATATAAAAATGATTAAACTACAAAAATCTCAATTTTATTTGTATTATTTTTATTTTCATGTTGTATATTAAAATTACCACGTAGACATATTTGGTACATGTTTATATTGTTAATATTAAAATAGAAATATGTTTGCTTGAGAGTCTGTTCGGTTTGGTGGTTTTAAAGTTCCAGGCTAGAAACCAGGAAACCTTGAGTTCCAGTCAATGAAGCCAATTGGATGACTTTAGTCCAGTCTTTCTCTAGGAAAAAGGCAATGGCAAATCCCAAAAATGTTTCCAAGAAAACATTATGGAGTTGTCTAGGCATTGCTAAGAGTCAAGATAAACTCGAAGACACACATTCAAAATATTTTGGTATACTTATCAAAGATATGTATGATTCCCCCAATCTTCTCACTATGAAGGGTTGTGTGTTTTCTGTTGCTTTCTGCGGGTTAGGCTTTGCAGGAGATGAAGATTTACTTTATGATTATTTTTGTGGTTTCTGTGAGTATTTATGCCTTTGCAAACTACTGTTTCAGTAGATTTCAAAGTGAGCCTTTGGGACAGGACTACTCTATGCTATCTGCAGAATCTGTCAAATACTTCAGTTTCTCTTTTACTACCACACTATCATAAAAACTCTCCAACTCTTCTTTCTCCACGCACTATTGGATTCTGTAGTTTCTTCATTCTTTTTGTTTATTTTCCTCTTTATCTTTTTTAACTGTTTCCATCTATGACTTCTAACATGCATGATCTGTGTTGCCTTTGTTTGGATTAGGATCACCAGATATTATGATTATTCCTAAAATGTTATTCTATAATTACAATGTAATTGTTCAACCATGCCTTAAACCTTGCTTTGGGAGCAAACTCTATTTGGTTGTAGATTGATTTCAGTTTTTGAAATTGTCATATAAACACTATCACTGGCTCCAGTTCTGAATGCTTTCCTATTGGAATAGTGCTGGCTCATGCTAACATATCAATAAGGATATGTTTTCTCATTTGAACAGAATAATTACAACTCCCTTTCATTCTACCGTAGGCTCAGCATTTTCACATTTCCAGTGAGTGTTAATCCTTAGCTGCTCTTAACCCTGGTCTAAAAATTCAACTTATTATGAAAATATCCTAAGAAGTTTTATGCTAAATGTGATTTGGGATTACCATAGGCTTCCTATTCTATAATAAATCTGCTAATCCCATTTGGGATAATCCCCCTTGGATTTGATCATTATCTCTGTCTGGTGGATTTTGCTTCCAGGATTATCAAATAGAATTTGAATTACCTGATATCTTTTACTCTCAAATCTTTTGGAAAGGACTTCAATATCTAATTGATTAGAATTATGGCTGAAGGATTACTTATGGGAGAACATAGAGCTGGTGCATGGTCAACAGCTCCTCTGTCAATTCTAGTCATGCGACCCATAGAAACTTGGACCAATAGACATAGTAGAAAAAGAGAAAGGATTAGTGTGCAAGCCATGCAGATAGAAGCAGTGGTGGGATTCATATATGTGAACAACCGGTTCTCTGTGTGGATGCCGCTTCCGGAAGTCCATTCTGGGCCTGGACAACAAAAAATTGGCTACCGGTTCTGCCAACGTGGTGTGAACTGGCTGAATCCCACTACTGGCTAGAAGGCTGGAGAATCTCCTGCTGCTTCAGAATTATGGACAGCTGCATCAACATAATGGCCTCAGTATATAAACATTTCCCTTCCAATTCCTTAATGCCACAAACAATTGAGGCTTTCTGCTCTTTTATCTACTCTCCATGTTTGTTATGACTGCAAACATGTGGAGTCCTAAGTGCTTTCTGACCTTAGTTGTTTGCTTGCAGATGTTTCATTACCTGCCTAGCTAACATCAATACATGTTGAACTGATGATGTTATCTAGTTGTATTGCAATAAAACATCTGCAAGCAAACAACCAAACTAGAAAGCGCTAAGCACTCCACAGTTCAACCCTAAACTATGTTATTGGATCCAGAATGTATACTCTAGGACCTTTTTGCCTCTTAACATTTTGTATTATTTTTTTTGATATCTCTGTATATCAATCCTTTTCGATTTAGTGATTTGATCTGTATTGCTTTCTCTACTTTTGTGCCTCTGCACTACGCAGTTAACTTCTTTTTGCTCATTTTATCCATTAAAATAATAATAATTTTCATAGCTTTTAGAGCTGTCAAGTAGTGTTGCATTCAGTCTGGCATCTGCCTTAGTCTCTTCTCCAAGAAAACTGTACCAAAGTGTACTAATCTAATTCCTAGTTATTTTATATTTAAAATTAAGTAGTTCTAACAGGTTTTGGAAATTACTCAATTTTCAGATCTAACATTCTATTTTCTTTGTTGCTTGGTTATCATGAAATTGCAGATTGCTCATTAATGGCAACACTAGATGACCTGATATGTGTTCTCCATTTAATTTTGCTTTAAGAAAAAGCTTCTATATGTGCATTCCAACATAAAAATGCAGAGATAGTAGGAAGGAGCTGTGGACACTTAAGTAATCCTACCTCCCTATATTTACATGTCTTGCTGCCTTTAGTCAGGGATCCTGATTTGATCCCCAGTAAGCATGAACAGGCTTATAGAATCCTATCTTTAAAACTTTGTGGGTTTGCAGAAAATGATCCAATAATCCTTCTTGCATCTTTCCCAACCCTTTCTTACATCCTTGCATAACCTTCCTGCTTCTTCCTGACCCACATAGTACCTCTCATGCACTCCCTCACACTCTCACACACCCTCCTTTACCCAGGTGGCCCCACTTACACATAACTTTGGATATACACACCCCTCCTGAACCCTCCGTCGCACCCTCGTGTATCCTCCCCAACTCACGTCATGCCTTTTCTGCACTTTCATGCATCCTCCCTTGTGCACCTGACTTATGTAGCACTTTACATGCATTTCATACTCTCTTGCTCCTTCCTCCACCCAGTAGCAGTTACTTACCTGCCCGTTGGCCTGTGACTTGCAACTTTCTGCTGGTTTTCCCACTGATTTTGGTTGTGGCAAGCCAACAGGAAGTTCCTCACCAAATGATGGAGGGAGTTGGTTAATGGTCGCAATTAGGACTGCTGGAATTGCCATTGCTAGGTGACATGGTCACACTTTACATCCACATCTCTTAGTGACAGAAATTCCAATCTCAATTGTTGTAAGTTAAGGCCTACCCATAACATTTGTTTATACAGACATAATACTGTAACAGAACTTTGAAAATTTAACTATACTACTAAATCAAATTTTCTAAAATGAAGTTTTATTTTATTTAGCGCAGAAAGAATGCAGTTGTAGATATATTTAATTGTAATTCATTCCCATTAAAATCAGGAAATATCATAGAATTGGCTGTATGAATTATGATTGCCCAATATAAGTTAAGCTACATAACTTAAATACAACCTGAACATTAAATGAAAACATATGAAGAATTCCAAAAATATTGTCAGATGAATTTTCAGATTTTATTTATGGGATGTATTCTTACCATAGATTACACAGAAAAAGAAAATTCAGACGTTCCAGAGGAATCCATAGAAGAATATTTAATATCAGATCACCAGTCCAGTGTTTTATCCCTAGAAGAGTCTCCTATACAAACAAGTAAAAGTAAATATTCTATTCTCAGTAGCTTGTTATGTATTAACAAATGTTAATAATCAAAAACATAGTCAATATGATATTGTACTTATTTTGCAAATTACTAGAGATGTAGTAATAAAAAATTAAATATATTCTTCTTTGCTTATAAAATGTTAATTTTTGTAAATATATTACATAATTGGGTTTTAAATATTCTAAGGCATATTTTAAGTCTTTTAACTAATCACTACTGGTTGCCAAGTGCCATATTTTGTTAGGTTGTAGACCTAATTTATCATACACTTCTACTAAAAACCTTCCCATATAGTCAACAAACTTTTCTCACTTAGACAAAAAATGATGTTTATACCATCACAGTCTTTGCTGTATCATTTTAACAATGGGTATGCTATGGCAACACATTTAGTGCACGTTGGACATGTACCAACCATCTTCTCAAAATCTTGTTACAAACTTGTTATAGTTTCTAAAGCTAGAATTTAAAGCATTTTCCCCACTTCTTAGAGTTCTTATAGCTATATCAATATCAATATAGCCTGTTTAAAAATTTAAAATAAATGGTTAAATTAATTAAAAAAAAAAAGAAAGAAAGCACCAAACAAGGATAAATCTAGAAAAGCATGTTGAATGCTTTGGAAGAAAGGATAAATGAAGCAAACGATCCAAATACCTATCCAGCAATGTATGCAATGACTTCAAAGATGGAAACATATGGAAAAACAAGAAAATCTTTCAAAGACCTCTGAACTCAAAAGGAGTTTTCTGAAAAATATCAGTAGACAAATAGTAATTGATTCAAAGGAGGTCAAACAAAGATGGAAGGAATATACTGAAATGTTGTACTGTATTAATGTCAACATTAAATATATGTTTCCTACTTAGAAGAAACTTTAGTACTAGAAAATAAAGTTAGATCAGCACTTCAATCATTACCCAGTTGGAATGCTACAGGAATTGATGGAATACCCACAGAAATATGATAAGCACAGAAGAAAATTCAGTAGAAGTTCAAACCAATCTATGCCAATAAACCTGGAGAATAACACAACGGCCAATTGATTGGAAGAGGTCAATATACAGTGCATTTCAATACCAAAAAAAAAAAAAAGATTTAGCAGAGAATGTAACCTATAGTATAATATTCTGAATCTCACATGCTAATAAAATAATGCTTAGGATCATCAAATACAGATTAGAGCCCTGATATTGCCAGGTGTTCAAGATCGCTTTAGAAAAAGCTGAGGAACATGGGACATTAATGCTGATGTATGCTGGATAACTGAGGAAGCCAAAGAACACTAAAGAGAAATCAGTATGTGCTTCATTATAAAAAAGAGCTTTAACTGATCATGTCAAGCTGGGGGATATGCTTAGATAAAATGGAAATCATGGAACATTTCATTGTTCATACGAGAAAGTTAGAAGGTCTTAATATAGACAGAACATGGTAAAAAAACTGGTTTCAGGTTGCCAAAACAGCACAACGAGGCTGAATATTCTTCCCTTATTTATTCAATCTAAATGTTTTATGGGAAGTTGAATTGGAAGAAGACAAGTGTGATTTTAGAAGACGAAAATTGATAACTTTGGTCAGTGGTGGCGAACCTATGGCACGGGTGCCAGAGGTGGCACTCAGAGCCCTCTCTGTGGGCACGTGCGCTGTCACCCCAGTCCTAGGCCTTCAGCTGGGTTTTATAAAACCTTTTCACTTTAGGCCTCCGCCGCCATGTGCAAAAAAAAAAAAAAGGTTCAATCAATCAATTTCAACTTCTCATGGGAAAAAAAAGATCTTGCAAAGTTGGAATTGATTGATTGAACTTTTTAGTCCCACCCAGTCTGCCCTTACCACCGCAACCACGCCCACCCAATGGGCCACACCCAGCCAAGGGGCCACACCCACCGAGCACCCGACGATGCATAAGTGGGTTTTGGGTTGCAGTTTGGGCACTCGGACTCCAAAAGGTTTGCCATCACTGACTTTGGTTATGCTGCTCTAATAGCTGAAATTGGGACTAAAATATAAATGAGATCAAACTAGTGATAATAGGTACAAAAAGCAATCTTAAAACTGACAATGAAGATATTGAAGTGGTGAATAGTAAAGTAACACACAGTTGAGAAATACTCTACAGACTAGTACTTGGTCAGGCAGGTATTGGAAAAGATATGTATATGCTTTGATGTGTCTAAACTTACAAAGATCTGAATAATGCAAGCAGTGGTGTTCTTTGTGACAGTCGATGGAAGCAAAAATTGGAGTTTGAAAAAGCAAGATAGGAAGAGTATCGATGCCTTTGAAATTTGGTGCGGGAGAAAACTCCTGAGAATACCATGGAAAACCAAGAAAACAAACAAATGGATCATAGAACAAATATATTCAGAATTCTCACTAGTGTTATTAGTGGAATAAATGACCAAGGTCAAATTATCTTATTTTGGACACATTATGAGAAGACCTAGCTTGGAGGAGAAGGCTCTAATGCTTGGAAAGAGGGAAGAAAGAGAAGAGGATGCCCAGCAGTAAGGTGAATAGACTCAGTTACAGTGGTGATGAATGCACCATTAAAAGACCTGAAAGAACAGGTTAGGGACAGATTGTAATAAGGAAAAATCTGTCTATGTGGTTGCTAAGAGTAGACATTGACTTGATAGCATCAATAACCAATCTATACAAATCACACAAGAGCTATTTTAAATCCTGAGATTGTAATTATGTTTGGCAGAAGAGTGAGGATGAGCAAAAGAAAACCCAATAACTCAAACTCCATATCTGCCTCCCTTTGAACTTATAGTGAAATATATTTTACACATTTTTGAAAATAATTTTTGAATATAATTGTTAGTAATAAAACAACTGTTTTTTAAGAAAATAATTGACAACAATGAAACAATAAAATCTACAATATTGTGATAAATACACTATTTCTATATATTTAAAAAAAGCAGGAAATGGACAGTTCAGCCTGAAACTTGTCATAATTCAATAGTTCCATTTTGGATCCCCAATTTGCTTATTGATCCATACAGTAATGTGAGAGCTTTGTGATTATTTTCAAATGATTCCAAAAATGCCAAATCCATGATTCCAGAAATACCAAATAATGGTAATAAAGTAGTATTTTAATGAAAAAACATTTTTCAAATGGATTTCTGAAAATTTAATTTACAGAAAAAATGAACATTGATTTAAAATTGAATATTTAAAATTAACAACTGAGCAACATCCACATTACACTCAACCACCATAAGCATGTATGGTAGAATCAAAAACATCCCAACAGAACTGCTTCAAAAGTTCTTGGATGTGTCTAGTGGTGGTGCAGGCGAGCATTATCATGAACCAACACCACACTGGAAGTGGTGCCATAGAAAATCCCGCCAAATGTGAAGATGCCAAAGGATGCTAGTGAAGTTCATGGAGCGTGGTTCGACCATAGTTCAGAAGTTTACTGTGAAACGTTACGAAAATTCAGACAACCCATGCCCCAGACAAGCCCAGATTTGGCACCAAGCAATTACTCCTAAGGAATTTCAAACCTTGTAAGACCTTATGACAAGTGCCTCAATTTGAATGGCAATTGTGTCAAAAATTAATGTAATGTTGTAATTTTCTAATGTGTATAATAAAAGTTCTGTATTTGCGAGTGTCTGTCATTGATAACCAAACGGAGGTTTATTTCCCTCATATCTGTATAACTCAAATGTATTCTACAGAATGACATTATTTAATCATGTTAATCCCCACGCATTTGATGTGTGTAATATTACATCAAATAGTATCAGAATAACACAGATTCTTTATTTTATCTACGTAAAAGAGAAAAGGGAACATGCTAAATATCAAATTAACTCTTCACCTGCTTCTGCTCTTGGATTACACTAAGAAGAACATACTTTGAAACTTATATTGACTTATTTCTTTTACTAGTGACTGATTATTATATTTTGGTTCTTGTAAAGGTGAAGCTGTGACTGGTGAATTATCAAAACTATTAGATGAAATCAAGCTTTGCCAAGAAAAAGATTATTTAGAAGATACGAGCCATACTATATCAGATGATTATCTGGATGATGCTAGCAAAGTATCAGAAGAAGAAGTAGTAGCAAATGGAAACCGAGCCAAGTCTAATATAGTAAGTGAGAAAGAGTATAGTTTCAATTCTAGTGATTAACAATATTATTTAATTCTTTTTCATATGTTGTATATTAAAATGTTTATATGCTGCATAAAATAATATAATTAAAAAGTTTATAATAAATTGAAGTGGCAGTGGCAAATCTAGATTCTTTGATTTCTCTCCGAAATCATTATATTAGGTAAGGGGTTTTTTTCCAACTACTTTCTGGGAACTTACTGCCCATTTGTTTTGTTTTTATAATTTTGTAAATTCTATCCATCTTTTCTTTTGATTAAACTCCTTTACTTACCATTTTCCTTCAGCAAAGATATTTCAAGCCATTCTCATAGGTCTTAAATTGACACTGATATAACTATAGCAAGTAATAATTCAAAGCCTATTTTTCTCTGTGAAACAATTTGCAGCATTCTAGTGAATTCTATCTTTTTTCTGTACAAATCACATATCATTAAAAATCATTAAACAAAAGTATTTAATTATGTCTAAATTTGACAACAAACCTATGACTAAAACTAAATCTTAATTAAAATATTACAATAGCTAGATTATATTTTTAGGTATTGATCTTCCAGTAGATGGCAGTATGGTTCAATAAAGAAGCGCATCAGCCATTTTATACAATAGAAGGATCTTCCAAATGTATGTTTCTTGGTTAAGTTATTAAGAGAGCTGGCAGGTTTTGGTGCAGCATGAATCCAAAAGGATCCCTGATAAATGGGCCCTAAATACCATGCATCGATAGTCTCCTATGAGCTGTGTAATCTTTCCTGTATGGAAAGCCTCTGGGAACAGTAGGTAATGGTAAGCTCACCCTAGCATAATTTAAACATGTACTACCAGACATAATAGGTATGTCTGGGGAGGGGGGGGTTAGTGTTGATCTTTAAACCTCTGGGCTAGAGAGTTAATGCTATAATATAGCCGATGCCATAAATTATTAAACAGCCATATGCATTCAAGAAGCCATAATCAATTTATTTTTAAAAAATGGTGTTAATGTTGTTTAAGATAATAAAAAAGAATCAGTTAATGGTTTATGGAAATTTAGTGCATTACAGTATTCAATGAAGTGAAAGAAATTCAAAGAGTTCAGAAAGTAGCATGTTGAATTAAATAATAAAAAATGAAGCAGGAGTTCAAGAAGTGATAAGGACAATATGGGAGTTTCCAGAAATGATTATTTTAATACTATATTCACTTATAGAAGGCAGCAATTTCTAACTTATTGCAAATGCATAACCACCATGTTAATATATAACATCACTGAGAATAATTTTAGGTGGAATTATATTGAATTTTAGTTCAATATGACCTGTTTTAATTGATATATTTCCTTTAGATGTAAAAATTATATAATTCCACAGTATTCATATTCACTTTACTCTGTCCTCAGAGATCATCTTCCACAAATCTGGAACAAGCAGAAGAGGAAGAAGAGGGTGGAACTGAAAATAGTTGTGGACCTACAGGTTTGTGGGAAGCACTGACACCTTGTAATGGATGTAGAAATCTTGGATTTTCCAGTCTTACTCAGGTATTTATCATTTTAGATACAAATTGTGTTTGAGTATCCTCCCATTATTATGCTGGAAAATTTCATCAAGAACCTTGTTCTCTAGAAAGTTTAGACAATGGATGTCATTGTTCCCAAATGGCTTCTGTCAGATTATAGATCCCAGTGGTGAGTTCCATTTTGTAAAAAAATACATCCATAAAAAGAAATACTCCCTCTTCATGGCCTTTTGAGATTTTAAGTATATCTTTGACTCAATTTCCAGAAATTCCCTTTGGTACAAATTAAAAAACTCAACTCTCAACAGGTGCGCAATCCCTACAGTTCTCTATACTGATAATGCCCCATAATTTCCCAAACATATATAGGGCTGAAACTAGCAATAGCAGCAATATTTTGATACTGCAGCAAAATTACCTGGATATAATTCTGAAAAATCTAAAATTGTGGTCTTTGCTAAGAGAGCAACCCAATAATCCTGGACAACAGGAGGGCAAAAAATATAGGTGAGTTGGTTACCCACTCTAAAGGCATCTGGAATACACACCAAAATCACATAGTGCAGATACTACTTAGATTTTCAAGTGCTGTTAAGTGCTTCTTCTACATAAGTAGAAACCAGTTAATCCCTGCAGCATTAAAACGTTTTGAGGCCAAGTTATTGGCCCAAATCCTTTATGGTACATAAGTTGGAATTTATAGAAGAATATTGTAGAATGATGCACTGGAATCAGTGTAAACAAAAATTTGGAGATCAATCTTCACTGCACCCGATGGAACAGCAAATGCCCAGTTAATGTTTGAGATAGGATGATGATACTATTGGCTAAAAATCCAACTCTTCCATTTGGATGACCTCTCTAGTTTTAACAGACAATTTTCTTTCTCCCTGAAAAGGCTGTAGAGCAAAAGTTGGCATTATATGAATTTTCCATACTACTAATGTTTTTTAAGAGAATGACTAAACCAAACAACTCACCAGAAAGATGTGGAGTTTCAGGCCAAAGTTAATAGATTGGCCCAATAGGGCAAAAATTGGAAACCAACAAAATATCTAAAAAAAAAATCTAACTTTCCCCAAATCGAGGATAGCATTTTTCAAAGCCAGGCATAACATTTTACCATCTGCACTGCTGCAAAACAGACACTCCAAAATCCCATTAATCATGTGTACTTGCTCATGGGAGATTGAAACCATTTTGTATGTATTATTTACAAGTTATATCGGGATATCAGGCCTGCTTATAATCTTCCCTTAATATGTACATTTCCAGAAAGGCCAGAAATTTATATGTGAAACATTTAAAAGATTCATTTATGTAGTAGCCAAATTCTGTCTTGCTATGATGAAGCCATAACTGCTCACAGAAATAACCACTTCAGTTTTATTCATCACTTCCGGTTTAATATATTAGTGATCTTGTTTTAGGTGATATGTATTTTTCCTTTTTTGACAATAATATTTCAGATTTATACTTGGACATATAGTAGCTATATTACATTTTATCTTTTTATGCTAGTATTTTACTTCATCTATGTATTGGATTTTACTTTTGTGTTATATTTTCATATGTTGATCATTAATCAAATAAAGCACAGTAATTCTTGACTTAAGGCCATAATTGAGCCTGGCAAAGAGGTAACCAGACCTGTTTTTATTATCTTTTCTGCAGCAGTTGTTAAGCAAATGCTGTGATTGTTAAGTGAATGTTCCATAGCAAACACCCATTGTTTGCTATTGGGCAGTTTTTGCCAGAAATCAGAAACAAACCACCTGTATTTTACAGTGGTGGGGTTTCATGGTTTACTGAGGAAATCTGGGATATGAAGCATCAGATGCAATGCTTTAAGTGATGGTGACAGAAGATGTGGATTTAGTATTACTGAATACATATAGCAATAAAGATGGCAAAGTGCCAGCCTTTCACTTTCATAGCACCTTCATAATGACATCCAACTGCACTGTTAAGATGGTAGGTGGGAAAAGATAGATGGAAAAAATTCTTCATAGTTTTGTGACAAGTTTGCAAGACATTTTACTGACATTTTACTTTTGTATGGTTTTGCTCCAGACTCCACTTTGACAAGGGCAAATGGGGTAATTGATATGGATTTGTGCAATATTATCTGGGATCTTTTAAAATGCTGTAGACTCCAAGGATGTGGGTTTTTGGCAGTAACCTCTGTTCTTCCCCTTGGCCCTATGACCATCTTAGTTCTTTTAAGCGACTGAGGGATGCATCTGCAGACAGTTTACTGAAAAGTAAACTGTGTTTGAAGCTACTATTCATTCAAAATGTGTTGGATAACTTCTGTCCAGTCTCCAACTTTCACTTTAGGGTGGTGCAGCTGCAGTTATAAAATAATCCTAGATGAAATAGTTATCTAGCTCCTGTTTCATTAGGTACCAAGCTTGGGTATGGAACTGAAATTACATTGCTTTTATAGAAGATTTCTTCCTAGTTCTGTTAAATCTTTCAGTGGTATTGGGATCATTGACCACTGTATTTTTCTGGAGCCTTTTTATTGATATAACACAGTCATGTTAGTGTGATTAATAAGCTATTCTGGCCACTAACAAAAGGACTGCTATGTTGAAGTGTTTTTACTTATTGCTAGAAATTTTAATCTCATTGCAACTACCTTCTACCCACTCAGTTTGTCATTGTACTTGTTTATAGCACAGGTTTTAAGTTTCACTTGAGTAACAAAAGAAAACTGTTTCGTATATAGGCTGTTGACAAAGATATTGAAATCATTTTCCAGATAAGTACAGAAGAAATATCTAACCTCCATTCACAAAGTCTTGTCCATCTTTGCTATCTGTATTTGTATCTACTTAAATAGTAGGGAAAATAAATTGTAGAGAAATATAAAGGATGAGATATAGTTTATAGTCTAGTCTACTTCGTATCAAGAGACAGCTTTAAGATCACTGAACTCCAAATTCTAGGCTGCTCACCAGTTTGGACGCTAGTTTTTTCAGTAGTCTTTAGTCCAGCATGGTCCCTATTTCCTATCTTTGTCAAAGATTATACTTATCTTTCATATGCTTAAAAAAGAGTATTTTCTTTCTGTTATTATTTCAGTTTTTAAGGCTATCGGATAGCCTTCTGTTTTGCTGGATTGTTTCTATCTAGAGTCCTAGACGATGGTTTGATAAATGAAATTTGAGTCCAAACGAGGAGTGGCAAAAGCATATCAGAAGGGACACTTTCTAGTTTTCAGATCAGTAAAAGTAGGGACAGGAGGGGGTACTTTCAGACAAAAAGATAGTACTACCTTACAAGGCTAACAACAGGCTAAGTGGATAGAAAGTATTTGCATGCAATGAAGGGCTTGGTGAAATTGACAATAGTGCAAAGTGTGTTAGACTTTATAGTTAGATTCTGATTATTAGTTCAAGTTAATAAATGATTAACTGATGAGTAACTTTCTCTGACCTTGACAGTTCCTTTTTACACATCTGAATGGACATCAATGATATTCCAAGCATGGTTCTCAGCACATCAATAGTAACTATACAGCTTTAGGAAGAAGGGAAAAAGTTCTTTGGGGCCTGAGTGATGTTCTCATCAGTATGAAGGCAAAAGTCCAGCAAGAGAAAGGACAACTAGAGTATTGGTATAAATGTGGAGGATAAGGTAGACATTAGGTTTAGCCACTCCATGCATCTGGTGAAACAAGCTGTAGCTCATAAAAGCTTATGCATTTTAATAAAATTTGATAATTTGAAAAAGTGCTACCAGACTTCTTCAGAATATTAGCTATTGATTCCATGGGAGTTATGGATCCTAGATTTTGGATGCAATTTGTAGATTAGTCTATTTTAGGTACCTTGGTACAAAACAGTTTGCCCTATGGCACACCATTTTACTCAAAAGTTATGGGAATCAGAATTTTAGTAATATGTAGATAGATTAACACAACACTCTTCTTCCTATGTATACAGCATGTTCTTTTCTCCAAATGGACTGAAAAATAGGATTTGTGGCTAAGGAAGACTGATCAACATACTAATATTTACTCAACTTTGTTTTTCCTGTTGCCAATTCTCAGGAACCGTAATTTTTTCTGCTGAAATAGTAATAACAATTTTTTAAAAATTGCCTACTATGAGCCCGAACTGGAATATATAACAAAAACCCTGCAAGATAGAAAACAAATTGCAGATTAGAAAACCAAACAAATGAGAACAAAAAAGACTAATAATACATATCCATTGTATCTTTTATGTCAATAGAGAGCCAGTTCAAAGGCTGAAAAAAACCACATTTCTTCAGTTCAGGTTTTAATTCTGCTGTTGTAATTTCTTCCAACAATGGAAATTTATCTTTTTAGCACTCACCCTAGCTCAATAAATTGATATATGGTAAGAGAGAAGCAATCTTGATGGATAAAAGAGAGAACTAGAAGATGTAGGCATAGTATAATAGACTTTGATTAAGTGCAGTAGACAAAAATGAATGGAAAAACTTAAATGTCTTTATGGAGGAAGAAGTGAGATTGTCAAATTTATTCAGCTCTGCATTAGACTTGTTCCGTAGAGATAATTGCTCTTCTGGGGAAGAATAGAAAAATAGCATTATACTGGTGTTAGTGGGTGGAACTTCTAAAATTGAGAAAAGGTAACTGCATATCATTGTACACATCAGGCATGTGACAAAGCTGAGTATGTCAGCATTTTCCTAATAAGGTGAATATAAATCATACTATTTTCTCTTTGTAAACCATATTATTCTCTATGCTAAAATTATAAATGCTCCCTTTTACCTCTAACCCTTCCCTCCAGTAAATATAGAGACCTGTAAGGTACAAGCAACCAGATCCACATGTGTATAGTTCAAACTAATTACTTTATTGTATTCTACTTACAATGCAGGAATCTCCCCAGACTGCTTGCCTTCCCTAGGGAACAGATAACTAAGGTTCCATGGGGCTTGGGGGGGGGGGAATCAGTACTCTTGCAGCTGTGCAACAACTAATTCCTCACTTGATTCCTCCTCCTTGTCTGGCTGGGT